GGCGATTTGGGTGTTTAGGCCAAAGAGATATCTCACAAAGGTTTGTGAGTCATTCTCTTGGAGATCACACCGCATCAAGAGTTCTTCAAACTCTCGATTGTATTCTTCTACGGACCGATTTCCTTGCCTTAGGTGTTGAAGCCTAGCAAAGTTTTCCCTTATATAATGAGTGGGAATGAACTTCTTCTTCAATAAAGCCCTCATCTTGGTCCATGTTTGAACAGCAGCTTTGCCTTCTCTTTTGCGCTTAGTGGTAGTGTTACTCCACCACGTAGATGCGTAGCCTCTGAATTTTAAGGCCACAAGCTTGACCTTCTTGTCCTCCGGCACTTCGGTATAGTCAAAGACGCGTTCAATCGTCTCTAACCATTCGATGAAATCATCCGGGTCATCTTTTCCATCAAAGGTTGGCATTTCGACCTTGAAGTAAGAGGGGGACTTCTCTTGGTTGTTTCTCCTCATGGTGGGAGAAGGAACTCCTGATTGGACGTCTTCCTCTTGCTCATCTTCACTTTCTTCAGGGGTATTCATCATATTCATTTTGAATTTGGTGAGTTGAGCAATCTGCTTAGCCAAGTACTCCACTTGGGTCTTGAGTTCTGTATCCGAGGCCCACAGCTCTTCATTGGTGATGATTACAGAGGTGTTTGACATCTTGAAGGGTGTGAAAGATGAGGAAGAGAATGGGGCAGTAGCTAGAATGGTAAGAAATGATGGGTGGTTTTTAGGACTCTCTTTGGCCGAAAATACCAAAGAAGGAAGAGAAAAGAGAGATGATGTTGAGGTTGATCTTTATGGCAGTAACAAAGAGATGAGGGAGGCGTGTGCAGATTATCCCTTAGGGATGTTCAACACAAAGCTTTGATACCAAATGTTATATCTCAGCTCCGGGTTTTATAGTTAAAACCTCTTTATTTGCAGGGAAGGGGAGATAATCGATTGTCCTGAGTGGATAATCGATTGTTTAGGGCTTCAGGTTCTTGGGCAGTTTTCTGGGCATGTTCTGGGAGGGGGGATAATCGATTTACAGTAGCAATAATCGATTATTTGACAATTTTCTGGGCATGAAGAAGGGTGTTTTTGTGGGGGAATGGACTGGAAATATATGGAGTTGATGAGGGAGTTCTTTTGGGTATTTTAATGGAAAAAAAGAGTGAGATTAAGAGAAATGGGGAGGTATGAAATGGAAGAAAATTAGGGATGGATAAACCAAGTTGGTGTTTAAGAGATATTACACACTCTTATCCTAACTTGGGGTTTGAATCTAGAATTTAATTAAGATATGACACACTTAATCAAATATCTAGAACCTAAAACTCACACTTAAGATAACCACTCATAAGATATAGAATTAGGAATTTGGCTAAAATAGCATCACACTATTTTATAAATACCCAAAGAGTAAAAGGAGTTTTTAATAATTCAGTGATGATCATTACAAGGGCCAAATGGCCGAAATATATAAGGAGGGGAGAGGAGAGAAAACACACAATATAATGAATGCAAATACAAGGAACCTTCCTACATCCCTTTATCATTCACTAGCTTCCAATCTTGAGTTGATAAGGGCTGATTTTGTTTGACTTTGTCTTGGCTTTGAAGCTGGCTTTGTCTGTCCTGTTGTGGAGGAAAAAATCACAAAGAATGAATGAAATCCTTTGATGATTGTGGTGGATATTCTGGCTAAAAAGAGGGGACAAACAAAGATGGGTGATGGATGGTGTATTGGCCTTATATTCTTGGTCATATGAGGTGACTGATTTAGTAGGTGGTGTATCAACAACAACTCAAATGTCCCTTGGCTTTTTGTGGTTGTTTATTCAGCCCTAGTAGGGAACATAAAGGGGACAAGAATGGGGAATATCTTGGTTGATG